GCATACCAGGCTTGGAAGAAAGAAAGAATCTCGTTTCCTTCCGCAGCAACCTCTCTAATAACCGCCACCATCGCCAGATACTGCAATGCAGACACACGCACGCACGCAGATCTACGCACGCGCGCACGCGCACAAATATACGCATACAAAGCCAAATATCGTAACCACGTGTACATCTGTATGCTGGCACTCACCCTCGAGGATGGGAAGATGCTGGGGTCGGGTGGTGTTGAAATGGGAGGGAAAAGGTGGAGGGAAAGTGAGGAAACGTTTACGCAGACAACGGAAATTAGATGCAAACTAATTAAATCCCTGACTCGCGCTAACGAGCCATGAGTTGCTGGGGGATCGGTGGATGCCGGTTGGGCGTCTATGGGTGGAGAGTAGGGCGGTCGGAAGAAAGGAGGAATCGAGTATCGATTGATTATCTTGCGTTCGACAGGCGCTTTATTTGTTTGTTGTTGTTGTTGTTGTTAGTGACTTCGTGAGTTGTTTTTTTTTCTCGAACTTCCCTTCTTTGTGTCGCCATCTTTCTATTCGTTCCTCTTCTCAACTTAGTTTTGTCATCTTTATTTCTTCCCACCCTCTTACTCCTCCCCCTTACTCCTCCTCTTCCGCTTCTTCTTCTTCTTCTTTTTCTTCTTCTTCTTCTTCTTCTTCTTCTTCTCATTATGGCCTTTTTCTTCATTATTTCTTCTTCTATTTCTCTCTCTTTTTCTCAACCTTCTCATCTTATTTTTCTTTTTTTAGTATCACTCTTTCCTTCTCTTTTCTTTCCTTCTCTTTTCTTTCCTTCTCTTTTCTTTTCTTCTCTTTCAACGTCTTTTCTTTCTTTTCTTTTGCTTTTTTTCATTATTTCTAATAAGAATATTTATTTCCTATAACCTTCCTATATAATACCGTATGTTTTTTTTTTATAACATTTTCGCAACCAGTGCAAGGAAGATAACTCGATGCCGATCTGGGAACATTCGAAAGAATTATAATTATTGTGTGCTTTCAAAGTCTGAGTGATCAGCGTCTACTTAATTCTGCAGGACTCTCCACAGTATCATTGTATGTGATTGATCTCTTAATTTTTGATTTTTTTACATAGTTTTGGCCTCATGCAATTAGCCTTTCCTTATACTGGGCAGTAACAGTTCAACACACAGCAGACATCTTAAGAAAATCGAAGAGAACGCGGCCGAAAATTTGTGAAGAAAAGCAATTTAATAATAATAATAAAAAAAAACGCTTCCGTGATATTCTTACTGATTTTAGTAATGATGTTATCTGGATGGATTCAATTTTTTTTTTTTTTTGGATATTCAATTCTTTTAATCTTTTTATTAGATTCTTCGGAATTGTTTGAAGTTCTACAATAATAACGAATTTTCAAAATTTCTTTTCAGTTCAACAGAATGCTTTGCTTATAAATTCTCTTTCAATTTCCCCCTTGACTCATCAGCAGTAGCCTTGCCTGATTTTCCACTTCGAACTGAGTCTCTGCTGTGTGATATCCATATAAGTCCCTTCAGGATTTCGGCTATGATCGCTGAAATTGATCCTCCCAGACTCGATGCCATCTCTGACCTTCAGAAATGTGTCCCTGAACAAAGCTCTCTTTGCTGCTTTTAGCTTTTCACTTTTCACTGAATTCAACCCTTGTACATCCTTCGAACCGTCTTATCCATCGAACAGTCGACCGATTTGTACGTTTTGGCAAAGTAATAGGCTCCAATGAAATCCATTAAGCATCATATCTCGTCAAGATCTGTCCGGACTACGGAAACTGTTTTAAAAATTATTCGGACTATTTCGTCTTCTTTGTCATACGGTAAATGGGATGTTTTACATTGTTCGGACTATTTCACTATTTCTCTTATTTCGGACTATTGTCGTCATCTTTGTCGCCATTTACATTATTTATTACAACGTTTCGGCCTTTCAGAGTCTGTCTATATTTCTGTACACTATTTCATTATTATTTATCTTTGTTGGATGACAACGTTTCGGTTTATATTTATGTATTACACTATTTAAATTATTCGGACTATTGTCCTCATCTTTGTCCATATTACGGCCATTTAGTATATTTCTATATTTCTGGGAGATGAGGTATTATGTACACTATTTACATTATTCGGACTATTGTCCTCATCTTTGCCATATTTATTACAACGTTTCGGCCATTTAGTATCTCTCTATATTTCTGAGATGAGGTATTATGTACACTATTTACATTGTTCGGACTATTGTCCTCATCTTTGTCGCCATATTTATTACAACGGCCTTTCAGTGTCTGTCTATATTTCGGCCTTTCAGTGTCTGTCTATATTTATTTCTGAGATGATCTTTGTCGCCATATTTATTACAACGTTTCGGCCTTTCAGTATCTGTCTATATTTATATGTACACTATTTACATTATTCGGACTATTGTCCTCATCTTTGTTGTCATATTTATTACAACGTTTCGGCCTTTCAGTGTCTCTCTATATTTCTGAGATGAGGTATTATGTACACTATTTACATTATTCGGACATCTTTGTCCTCATCTTTTGTTGTCTATATTTCATATTTATTACAATACATTTTCGGACAATTGTCCTCATCTTTGTTGTCCCTTCGGCCCTTCAGTAATTTTCTATTGTCCTCATATATTTTTTTATATTTCTGAGTAAATATATTTATATTTACATTATTATTTCTGATGAACGTTTCCTTCTTCATACTGAGATAAATTTGACGAATTTCAGACTATTGCATCTTTGTACTAGATCGACAGTTACTATTTACATTATTCGGACTATTGTCCTCATCTTTGTCGCCATATTTTTACAACTTTATTGTCTATATTTCTGAGATGATTCTTTTCATTATTCGGACAATTGTCTTCATCTTTGTTGTCATATTTATTTGTTCTGAAATTTTCATATATTTTTCAGTAAATGTGAACTTTCCTTTTTTTACATAAATTTGACGAATTTCAGTGCAGTACTAGATCGACAGTTAGGTCTTTTACTTTATTGATGATTCTTTTCGCTATGCTATTTGTTCTGAATGACCTTGTCCTTTTTTTTATTAATGATCCCTTTACCTATCCACTTCTTTCTGGTATAACAGATCCTTCTTTCTTTGTTGATGATGTTTTAAGTTTTGCGCTTCCCTCTGACTTTTATCTTTTATTCCTTAATAATAATCCTTTTAGCTTTGCACTTCATTCTGGTTTATTTGATCCTTAATTCTTTATTGGTGATACATTTTAGCTTTGATCTTCCTTCTGGCTTTTCAGATCTTTCTTTATTGATGATTCTTTTACCTGATCCTTCTTTCTTTATCGATTTTAGCTTTGACCTTCCTTCTGGTTTGCTGGATCCTACTTTCTTTTTTGATGATCCATTTAGCTTTGCCCTTCCTTCTGGATTACCTGATCCTTCTTTCTTTATTGATGATACATTTTAGCTATGACCTTCCGGCTTTCCTGATCTTTATTTTCTTTATTGATGATCCTCTTGCCTTTGCCATTATTTCTTGTTTTCTTGATCCTTCTTTCTTTTTTGAAGTTCGTTCGTTCTAGCTTTGCTCGTCCCTATGGCTTTAATTAACCCTTTTCTTTACAGATGATCCTTTTAGATCTGTCAAACCTTCGTTCATGCATCAGTCTGGTGCTTCTGCTATATATCTAGTGATTATTGGTAAAATATGTCGGAAAATCCGTAAGGCTTCTTGATTTCCTGTCAACGACGATATTGAAATCTTTAAATGCAACATCAACCGTCATTTTCTATTTCCTCTTCTAGTCCTCTGACTCTTTCCATCTCAATAAACCCTGCGACTTTTTTAGTGCATTGTTTACAGTGGATATGATTATTTTAAAAGTATTGTAAGAAGATTCTAATGCTAATATTATTATTTCATGAATTGCCTCATGAGTTAGATCTGGTTTCTCTCATTGGGGAGTGTAAGCGATCTAGAATTGCAAAGGAAATATTTGTTGCAGTTTACTTCAACGACGCAGAGAATAATTCACTAAGTTCAGAACATCGGTGGCAGAAAAAAATGCCGAAAACTCGATTTGCAGGTACTATCTCACAAATCACAAAGCACGGAACCAGTCAGAAAAATAACTCACTCTTCGACAAACGCGGTAGCCAAAATGTCCGAATTGTTCTCTCTCTCTCGATTCGAGAACACCAACTGCTTTTATCCGCCGAGCATTTTTTCCATTCGTCGACGACTTGGAGAGGACGCCCAATTTTTGCATATCAAAATACTTTTTATAAAGACTCCTGCGACGGACTTGTTTTTAATCTAAATATTCCGTCTTTTTTTTTTTTTTTTTTTTTTTTTTTTTTTTTTTTGGTAAGTAATTTTCATTTTCAACACATTTTCCGTCGTAGGATACGCACGACGCGCTGTCACTTAGTTTCACGAAGTAAGTCGCCGTTTTCTTTGCTATAGGGAAATAAATGATGATTCCGCCAATAGTTACGTGTGGATATCATTTGTATCAAGCAAACTGTTTCTCATCTATATCTGATTTAGAATCTACTTAATATTTTTGAAAGAATCTATTATAATTAATAGAAAGATTGTCACATTTACGATTATTTGAGATCATGGCAGAATCATCTCGTTCGCAATGACTTGAATTTCCGTGGAAAATATTCTGGTTTGTTTTTAATTTTTTCCAGATTTTAGAAATACGAAACTAATGTTTCTTCAATGGCCAAATTTTATTCGTTTTGTCTTTTCTAATTATTCTTTACTTCGAGAACAGATATATATTTCAGATCATTACTTTTTATTCATGAATATTTTACATTTGTCTTTCCTCCTAACTTTTCAGATTCTTTTTTCTTTATTGATGACCTTTTAAGCTTTGTAATTCTTCTAGTTTTCCTGATCCTACTTTCTTCATTTAAGATATTTTAAGCTTTGCCCTCATTCTGGCTTTCCTGATTCTTCCTTCTTTATTGAATAATCATTTCAGCTTTGCCCTTCCTTCTGGCTTACATGATCCTTCTTTCTTTGTTGATAAAACTTTTTCGTTTTGCCCCTCCTTCTAACTTTGTCATGATACTTTTTGCTTTGCCCGTCCTTCTGGCTTTTTCCGATCTTTCTTTATTGAGTTAGCTTTGCTATTCTTCTTGGCTTTCCTAATATTTCTTTCTTCATTGATGTTCCTATTTGCTTTTCTCTTCCTTCTAGCTTTCCTGATCCTTCTTCCTTTATTGATGAACCTTTTAGTTTTGCCCTTCTTTGTTCCTTCCAAATTCATCCTTCCTTCCTTCGTCTCTTATAATTCGCTTGTAATTCACAGATCTGCTTGAAAGTTTGTCATCAGGTGTGGAAATAGTCAGAGTTACTTCCCTTTCATGAATTACTGTTTCATCCCTTCGTTTCCAAACTGTTAACACCCCGTTGTCTTCTGTTTCGACATTATTACCTTGATTTCCCATCTTTTACAAGCATTGCAGTTGCATAAGAACTCCACTCGACGTCAAAGATTAAATAGCTGAACCCTCTGTGCTAATTGATTGTAAATTCATTTTGAAACACCAAATTTATTCACTGGATGTGTGTTGGCCAGTCACCAAAGGTTGGCAAATTTAGGACACTCTGGCACCGACAGAAACAATAGAAGTGAGGACGAGATTCGACGAGGTGAGGACAGAATGACGCCATTATCGAATTTTGTTTATATCTATTTCATTCTCTTCCAAAGCTATTGATCGAAAACTGTTCTTATCGATTTGTGTTCACATCTATCACAGTTACTTTTTATCAGCCTATCTCTGTTATTATTGATTTGTTTATAATTATCTCTCTTGATCTAACCTCTCACTTCTTCTTCTTCTTCTTCTTCTTCTTTTTCTCTTTAAAGTACACACAGAGTCTATCTATAAAGATGTTTCTATCTATGTCTGTTTTTATATGTCTGTACAATTTACCTGGGTCAGCAAATTAACCACTTTCTCTTCATCTCTGCTACTGCCAACAAAATGAATCTGTATGTATGTATGTATGTATGTATGTATGTATGTATGTCAGTCGGTCGGTCGGTCTCTTTGGTTTTTCTCTCTCTCTCTCTCTCTCTCTCTCTCTCTCTCTATATATATATATATATATATATATATATATATGTATGTATGTATATATCAGTTTGTTCCTATCTATCTATATATTTATTTCAGTCTATTCATATCTATCGATTTATCTATGTCCATTATTTCTCTATGTATGTATGTATGTATGTATGTATGTATCTATCTATCTATCTATCTATCTATCTATCTATCTATCTATCTATTCAATCTATTCATCTCTACCTATTTACCTAAGTCTGTTTATCTATCTATCTATCTATCTATCTATCTATCTATCTATCTATCTATCTATCTATCTATCTATCTATCTATCGCTGTTCATTATCTGTTGCATCTCTCTCTCTCTCTCTCTCGATATATATATATATATATATATATATATATATATATATATATATAATTGTTCATAAGGTATTTATATTAAAATAATTGTCGGATTTAGTACATTTTCTTAACACACAAACACATATATATATATATATATGTTTACATATATATTCATCTCTTCATATCTATCTATTTATCTATCTGTCTATCTAACTCTGTTCATTGTCCTCACACACACTCACACACACACACACACATATGTGTGTGTGTGTGTTATTCTCTTCATATCTATCTATCTATCTATCTATCTATCTATCTATCTATCTATCTATCTATCTATCTATCTATCCCAGTGTCCTCATTATCTGTCTATTGATTGGTCTTATTCCGTTTCAATAGATCTGAATATACAGTTTTTTTTTTCTTATCGTTAATGTCTTTCACTGAAGGCATGTAACTGACATCATCACTATTCTCCGCCTGATGTTTGCAGCAAAGATTTCCTGTTTATCAATTCTACCATCTTGACTCACCCACGCCTTGAATATTACGGCGTTAAATTACGGCAAAACCACAAAGTTTCTTTTCCCGCAAATACTTTTCAGTTGAAAATATTTTGCAGACGAGCCATAAGGTTGTCTGCAAAGTAACAATTTACTTGTGCCAATTGCATGACCTTTTCCAATTTACGAAAATATATTTGACAATGAAATATTTGTTTAGTAGAAAAATGTGGTGTGATTATGGCGTCGGATTTTTCGGTGTGGCATTGTCGATTAAATCTATATTTATTCTCGAAATTTTTGTCTCTCTAATTCACTTGTATATCCTGAAGCAAACGGATTGAATGTTTCAAACATTTTATCAGATATATCAATGCCTTACCAATGAGGTTTGGTTAGTTAAACGGGACATCAGTTTACATATTAAATGTTTTGGAGCTGATAAACCATATTTGTTACTTATTACTTACTATATATATCTATCTCTGCTTGTCTATTCATATCTATCTATCTATCTATCTATCTATCTATCTATCTATCTATCTATCTAAATGTTTTCGGTCCCAAATTCTCAATGTAATGACAGTAGAAGCAATACTTTTCGACAAATACTGCAGTAAATAAATAAATAGATCGCAGCCGATCATTAAGGTTGCTGTTAGAATAGAATTGGTGATTGTTGTTATTGCAAGTGCGTAAGAGGAGAAAAGAAAAAGGGAATATTATGTACGATAGATAACGGGTTTGACTAGAGCCTTGAGAATGTTAAGGTCGTAGTGATCCTAGAGACACCCTCTCGGGAGTTTATTCCACAAATTAACTGTTCTTGGAAGAAGTTAATTCAGTTGATCTTACTTCTTACAAAAGCAATGGAAATGAGTCGATCTTGTGTACATAGTATAGCGGGTCCAATCTGTGAAGATCTGAACTTGTGAAATGAATGAATGTAGCTCGTCTAAACAACAGCCATAAAGGTTAGTAGATTTTGGTATGTGGGAAAGAGGTTGTAGGGTGGGAAACAATTCATCACTTACAAGACTACGTAAACAATTTTTGAAGACTGGAAAATGTGGATTGTGTAGCTCCATTCATACACCAAGCAGTAAAATTGACCAAGAATCGTCTTTAGCTAAGGTTCATACATACACATTTATCTTATGATTTGGTATGAGCCTGAGTCCCAATAGATGTCCATTGAGAATGCAACCGTACATAATGACCGGAGCAAATTCTGTGTCGGCTTGGTAATGATCAAAGTCTGGTGTTGGGGGTATTCAATGTTTCTATACAGTTTCTCTCCCTTTTAGCAGTTAGAACTAGTCCAGGGCAGAGATCAACTGCCGGCTCATCTATATTTTCGGAGGTGCCCCTATAAACCATGGAATCGTCTATACCCTATATTGCCAAAGGATAAGTAAATTAACTGCTATTATGATGAGGTTATTATCGATAACTTCACTGATTGTATGTGTAATAAGAGTTAAGACATCAGCGGTGGACAAAGAAGCATGAAACACATACTATTTGTCGTTCAGAAAGTGCTTTCTATAGAGGCTATCAACAACTTTCTTGATAATAGAGTGAAAAATTTGCTAATAGCACTACAGAGGCTTATAGGCCAGTATTGTGACGGGGACACACACACACATACAAACACGTATTGTCTCTAGTTATAAAAGCTATCTCTCCGATATTGAGCACTCTTCTGAAAATATTACAAATTTTATAGGACATAAGTAAGAGGTTATAGTAGTTCCAACGAGAGAAACGTGTTTTGTATATTAAAAAGAAGAGAAAAACCGCACACGTTTTTGGTTGTAATGGGGATTCATTTAAAAATATGCTTTAGTTTCCATAATTTTACTACACGGGTTTCTGGTCTCACAACCGTCTTCAGGTCAAAGGCGGAGATTTCCACATATTATTAAAAATAATTAATTTTTTCTCCTTTAAGTTTTTCGATATTAAATATTCTCGATATGAGACATTCTCTTTTGTGTGTGTGTGTGTGTGTGTGTGTGTGTGTGTGTGTGACCCATATGTCTTTCTTGAACTGGCAGTGAAAAGTTCTGTAAGCATGCGTGTATATATATATATATATATATATATATATATATAAAATTGTGCGTCTGACTCGAAAATAAAAAAGACTTTTGGAACAGCTTAGAAAACAGCAATGAAAATTTTGAAAAAATTACTTTGAATTCCTCACTTTATTCCAGGGAACTTCAAAACCTTATTTTAGCTTGACCCAGAATTACAAGTCCAATTCGGGCCAAAAGATTTTGATCCAAATTCCGATTTGGGCCAAAATTCTAATTCAGGTCGAAAACTGAGTTCTTCAAATCATAAACTCACGCGTACATTAATTCAAGTGAGTTTTTCATATCAAAAACTCTGCGGAACTTCAAGACCTCACGTCACAAAGCCCCTGGCTTTAACTTTTTGTCATTTTGAAAAAAAAAAATAAAATTGATTCCCGCAATTCACTAAGTTTTGGAGTTTATTTTATTTTACACTGAATTTAAATTTTACACTGAATTTAAAACAATTTTATATAAATTCACAAACTTTGTGTGTTAAACTTTAAACTCAATATAGATTTAAAATATTTAAAATAAATAATTTTTTCCAATTATGTCAAAATTTTAACTTTCAACTATTCCCTCGGACAAAAATCCCAATGCTGGATATTCAAGGACCACATGGTGGCAGATTTTCAATTACGGGATCATTCTGATTCCAAAAAGGTATGTCCCTGGATTGCAAATGTGGCCTGAGTTAGAGGTAGGTACAGATAGAATTTGCTGTTTACATATATATATATATATATATATATATATATATATATATATATATATATATATAGAGAGAGAGAGAGAGAGAGAGAGATAGTGACAACGATACTGTGAGAGATAAGGAACAGATTGAGATAGATATGAACACACACACACACACACACACACATATATATATATATATATATATATATATATATATATATATATATATATATATATAGATAGATAGATAGATAGATAGAGAGATAAAGATAGACGTAGCGTATATACAACTTCCAACAAAATTGTCAGATGAAAAGATCCAGAATTTAAACAGTGGAATGTAAATCCAAATGTTCATTTGCGTAAATTATTTTTTCAAACTCAGAAATTATACGAAAATTATTTTTGGCCATTTTTGCATCCTTCAAGTGAAATTCCGAAGGAAGCGAGTTAGAGACACCGACTGAATCACAAACACGGGAACTGAAAACCCAATTTCTTGATTATCTAAATAACAATATCCGTTAAAATCCGAAGAAATTTTTGCCCACAGGTTTTTTTCTGTTATATGTTTTAAATAATTAAATAAACGTGTTATTTTCTTTGTGAAGTTATATATATATGCAGAAAAAAGAAATCAAATGGTGCATGATTCCACTGTACGTACCATTTTAAATATCATGTGTGTGTTTATGTACAGATGATTTATTTTCCATAATTATGCTCCACGAGTTTCCAATCACGCGACCTTCATCTGGCAAAGAGTCGATATTTCCACATATTATTAAGAGGAATTAATTTATCTTATGTTTTCCGATATTAAATATTCTCGATATTAGACATTTAAATTTTTTGGGTGTTAGTGGCCGAAATATCTTAAGAAAAATTAATTACTTTTAATAATATGTGGAAATAGTAAAATTATGAAAAATAAAGCATAATATTTTTTTAAATCCACATTAAAATCAAAAAAATTTCCGGTTCCTCTCTTGTTTTAAATATACACACTTTTCTCACGTTGGAACAACTATAAACTTTTTTTTCCTATATATATATATACAGATATACATACATATATATATATATATATATATATATATATATATATATATATATATATATATATATATATATATATATGTTATCATTTATATACGTATATACATATATATATATATATAAGGATTTAAATAAGATTTAAGAATATAATACTTCAAAAGCATAGCAGTTATTTTCATATAGTGTTCAATATTAGAAATATTAATGATACTGAAATAAAAGACACTTTCAAAACTGGATATTTCAAGAAATTTCGAAATAAGGGAAATAAGAAATTGATACCAACAATTACAGTTAAGTAATTTTATTTATATATAAAAATACGTATATATATATATATATATATATATATATATATATATATATATATATATATATATATATATATATATATATATATATATATATATATATATATATATAGGTTTGGTCTGTTTTATTTTACATTAACACAGGTTCTAACTTGGGTCAGAAAAAATCTCTCTGTTTTGTTTACATTTACACAGGTTCTATATATATATATATATAAATATATATATAAATATATATATATATATATACATATATATATATATATATATATATATATATATATATATATATATATATATATACTGTCCTCCTAAGTGCCGAGATATATTAATTTTGTCCTTTCTCTTTGACTCACTGTCTCTCCCTCTATCTCTCTCCATCTTTCTCTCTCCCTCACAGTCTCTCTTTCTCTCTCTCTCACTCTCTCTTCTCTCTCTCCCACAATCTCTCTTTTTCTCTCTCTCTCTCTCTCTATATATATGTATATATATATATATATATATATATATATATATATATATATATATATATATATATATATGTGTGTGTGTGTGTGTGTGTGTGTGTGTGTCGTCTGTTCGATTCAGCCTTCGGTAAATGTGCACGATAAAAAAAAAGTCGTTTATTCTAAATTGCTCATCAAATATGACAAATTTCAAAAACCGCTCGATAAGAAAATATTGTGCGATTTGAAATTATAATTTACTTTAATGACACACAGAGTGTGGGAGGGGGCGGTTTGGTTCAGTTATCGGGAGAGTCAAGAAGACTGAAAGTATAAAAAAGAAAGTAAGGAATATAGAGGGAGAATAAATAAGGAAGGAAGAATGAATGACAAAATGAAAGGATGAGGAAAAGAAAAGGAAAAAAAAAAGAAAGATATAGAAAAAGGAAGTAGGAGGAAATGAAAAAGAAAAGAATAACGAAGTTGCAGGAAATGAAAAAGAAGAGAAAAATGAAAAAGAAAAGAAAAACGAAGTAGGAGGAAATGAAAAAGAAGAGAAAAACGAAGTAGGAGAAAATGAAAGAAAAAGAAAAAGAAGTAGGAAAAATGAAAAGAAAAGAAAAAGAAAAGGAGGAAAGGAAAAAGAAAAAAAAAACAGGAGGAAATGAAAAACAAAAGAAAAACGAAATAGCAGGAAATGTAAAAGAAAAGAAACGAAAAACGACGTAGGAGGAAATGAAAAAGAAAATAAACGCAGTAGGAGGAAATGAAAAAGAAAAGAAAAACGAAGTAGGAGGAAATGAAAAAGAAAACAAAAACGAAGTTCCAGGAAATGAAAACGAAAAGAAATACGAAGTTGCAGGAAATGTAAAAGAAGAGAAAAATGAAAAAGAAGAGAAAAACGAAGTTGGAGGAAATGAAAAGGAAGGAAAAATGAAAAGAAGGAAAAAAAGAAGAGAAAAACGAGGTAGGAGGAAATGAAAAAAAAAAAAAAAAATGAAGTAGGAGGAAATAAAAAAGAAAAGAAAAACGAAGTAACAGGAAATGTAAAAGAAAAGAAACGAAAAACGACGTAGGAGGAAATGAAAAAGAAAAAAAAACGAAGTAGGAGGAAATGAAAATGAAAAGAAAAACGCAGTAGGAGGAAATGAAAAAGAAAAGAAAAACGAAGTAGGAGGAAATGAAAAAGAAAACAAAAACGAAGTTCCAGGAAATGAAAACGAAAAGAAATACGAAGTTGTAGGAAATGAAAATCAAGAGAAAAATGAAAAAGAAAAGAAAAACGAAGTAGGAGGAAATGAAAAAGAAAAGAAGAACGAAGTAGGAGGAAATGAAAAAGAAAAGAAGAACGAAGTAGGAGGAAATGAAAAAGAAGAGAAAAATGAAGTAGTAGAAAATGAAAAAGAAAAGAAAAACGCAGTAGCAGGAAATGTAAAAGAAAAGAAAAACGAAGTAGGAAGAAGTGAAAAAGAAAAGAAAAACGAAGTAGGAGGAAATGAAAATGAAAAGAAAAACGAAGTTGCAGGAAATGTAAAAGAAAAGAAAAAAACGACGTGGGAGGAAATGAAAAAGAAAATAAAAACGAAATTGCAAGAAGCGAAAAAGAAAAGAAAAACGAACTAGGAGGAAATGAAGAAGAAAAGAAATACGAAGTATCAGGAAATGAAAAAGAAAAGAAAAACGAAGTAGGAGAAAATGAAAAAGAAAAGAAAAACGATGTAGGAGGAAATGAAAAAGAAAAGAAAACATAAAATGTGGGAGTAAGAAAGAGCGAAAAATGAAAAACAAAGAAAAATGCAGTAAACAATGAATAAAGAATATCTGACTAAAAGAAGATTCATTGAATTTAGTAAGTAAAAGTAAATGGAAACTTCTGTATTATTACATAACTAATATATAATATAACAATATATTATATTTTTCATCGCACACTATATCTGCCATATTGTTTCACTAACGTCTGTCATCTTTCTAACCTTTTCCGGATTCCATTTCGCTAGAACTTGTTACCTTTCTCAACAAACATTTGCTCCAAATGTCTTTTGCAGTCTTTAATGGAATCGAATTTTTTTATGAATATTCTCCATATCAGGCGTCGGCAACCTCCGCACGCGTGCCGCACGTGGCACGCCAAACATTTTGCACACAGCCACAAGTAACATCACGAAGTTCAAACCAATAACTACTACATGCAAAGGTATTTAGCTGTTTCAATTTTAATATATAGTAAAGTATATATACTATATATTACTATATAAAATATATTGTAGAACTGGTATATTGACCTTGACTTGTATAAAAATACTAACGTTTCATCTTCACCAAGCAGGCAGGCTCCTTCTTTTGAACGTCTAGTGGAACTCTATTTCACTCTAGGCCTCAACAGGTGTATTGACCTTGAATTGTATAAAAAATACTTATGCCGTTGGTACACTGAATGATTTTCAAACCCTAAGACAGCACATAGTTAACAAAAGATTCCCGACCCCTGTTTTAGACTGTTTCGGCCACGGACCGCCTCGTCGGTCAAACGATGTCGAATAGTGGCTTATAAACGCAAATACCTCCAAAATTAAGGGAGTAACGTTTAATTCTCACCAAGCAGGCAGGCCCATTCCTTTGAACGTCTATTGGAACTCAATTTCACTTCAGGCCTCAACAGGTATATTGACCTTGACTTGTATAAAAATACATATGCTGTTGGCACACTGAATGATTTTAAATAAAAGTCGGGCCCTGGTGTATATCATCAGAGCTGTTTTAACTTGAACGCGCATTGCAAGTCGGTGACGATGTTTTATCTTCTGCCCAACCGCTCGATTCCGAACATTCCCATCAGCTCAGGCCCATTTTTTTCAAGGCCAACCGGCCAAACGTTCAGCTATACCGATAGGACCTTTATTACAGTTTAAGTTTGAGTCCCACCAAAGCCGAATATGTTTATGAATTCAAAGCTCTCCTTCTATACTTCTTGTCAACCACGACATAATTCAGTGTACCCTCTAGTTAATCCATAATTGGGTTAAGTCGGTTTCATGCGTTTTCCCAAGAGTATTTGTGCGTAAGTGAATGCAACAGATTAGACCGGTATTTGAACTTGGCTCGCCAATTTCTCGTCCTGCACTCCTTAACCATTATACAACCGGCATCTCCATTTTCTGTAAAGACAGAGATTAATGATAATCCGCTAAATACACTGGATACCTTAATAATTCCTTATAAAATTACAACAGTTTTTGCCCAGAGTCACTAAGGCATATGAAAATGAAGCATATTCCTGAAATAATATTATTGATATTAACTAATTCAGATTGAATTTTCGTCGATGGCAGATTTAAATTGGTCTAATGTTATTTTTAGTTCTTGCTTTAATCATATTTTATTGATTTGTTTTCTACGACCTATCAATTCTTTGCATGTTTTTTAAAGCCAGAAAATATTTTTAGATTGTAAGATTTTTTTGAGATGATAATGATTTAATGGTCTTACTAATTAACCCATAGCTGAGGAGAGAAGAAGTGGATTCATATATTTGCCAAGAGTATTTGCGTGTAAGTGCATATAACAACTGGAACTCGGCTCTCCTATTAACAATTCCCAGACTTTATGCACTACACCACCCACAGATCCAAGCTTATAGCACTTGGTATTCTCAAGCGGTCACCCATCTAGGTACTGACCAGATTCGACGTTGCTTAACTTCTATGATCATACGGGAACCATTGCTTCAACGTGCTGTAGCCATAAGCCCTTCTAATCATTTTGGTTCTGGAGCAATTGTAGAGTACATTCATCTAGTCTCACAGTCACAGGGATGGAGATCGGCCTTTGATTGGGTTTGCTAGGTTTTTTTTATGATATACTGCTTTCTATGTTGCTATTTTTCCACTTTTTTCCCGACACTGACAATTTAATAAACGAAAGATTTCCAAGTCGTTGAAATAGCATTTTTCTATGGAGGCTACACATCAAAGTGACTATCATAAGCAATCTGATGCAAATGATTATCAACGCTGGCATACATTCAATATGTTGATTATCTTCGATGCTGTATGACATGAATCATTCTCAGATAATGTCTTGTCTTAATCGCCATCAACTTGAATCGGGCTATCTAATTGTAACGCATGTGTTCTGCGATAAATTCTCAGCATGGAAGCTAGTAATTTCTATTAGAATATATTGGCGTAATACAATCTTCTTACCAGTATTTCCTCCTGTTTTCATTTCGAGCTCTCGAAAGCTAAGCTTAGTAAATGCATCGAATTACGTCTTTGAAGGACGGAAAAAAGACGAATAAAAGAAACGTTTAAAAAAAATGGACGAATGTACAAGAAAAACGCTGAATTAAAAATGGCAGATGAAAGAAAAGAAAAACACTGAAAAAAAAGACGAAATAAAGGAAAAACAAAAAAGGTTGAATGAAAGGAAAATATAGATTGAAAAAACAATGAATGAATGAAGAAAAACAAAGAAGTGTGAATGAAAGAAAAGTAAAACACTGAAAAAGACGAAAGAAAGAAAAGAAAAACACACACACAAAAAAAAAAACAAGTAAAATATGTGGAATGAGAGAAAAGTAAAAGAAGAAAGAAAAGAAATTATAAGACAAATAAATGAAAAAAAAAACAAAAAAACAGATGAATGAAAGGAAAGATAAACAATAAAAAAATATTTAATGACTGGAAAAAGAATAAATAAACGAAAAGCGTACGAAACAAAAAAATGATTGAAAATGAAAGAAAAAAAATAGAGGCAAAGAACTAAATCATTTTTGAAAATCGTAATAAATGGGAAGAAAAATAAAATAAAAACATTCAAAATTAGAGGCGAAAATGAAAAGTGCATTGTTATAGAAACGAGTTAATTATTAAAAGAAAGAATGAGTCTGGAATTATAAGAATACTAAAAGACATAACGAATAAAAAAGAAGAAAGTGTGGAAAAAAATTGAAAAAATGTTCGCCATAAAAGTGAACGAATAAAAAAAATGGTTGAGTCATTTTTATTTTACGGCTTATCAACCCTTTGCGATTTTGGATTGTAAAAGTCCGCTTACAGTACTCAGTGTTCCCACGCGATACCCCCATCTAATTACTGACCAGACACGATACTGCTTAACGAGAAAGAGAACCGATGTTTTCAGCAGGATTTTAGAAAGGAAGAGATTTGTTCCAAAACGATTTTGGTAAGAGGAATGAGTAAAAGAGAAGAAAAAAGAGAAAGAAAAATGAACGAAGTTTGAAAACCAAAATATGACGAAAGAAGAAATAAAAAGAAATGAAAGACAATTGGAAAAGAAAAACATCGAAAAAAGAAAGAAAAAAGAAAGAAAGAAAATAATAGTGAGAAAACAAATGAAAAACCAACATAAAAATGACAAAGAAAAAAGAAAAGAAAGAGTAAAAAAAAAGAGAAATGAATGCAGAGCCAAAGAAAAAGAGCTGAGAAAGAAGAGGGAAAAAAGAAACAAGTTTCAAAAAGAAGAAAGAAAGAAGAAAAAAGTGTAAAACGGATATGAGGAAAATCGAACGAAGGAAGGAAGGAAGGAAGAAAGAAAGAGAGGAAGGAAAGAAGGAAGGAAGGAAGGAAGGAAGGAAGGAAGGAAGGAAGGAAGGGAGGGAGGAAAGAAGGAAAGAAAGAAGGAAATAAAGAAGGAAGAAAGGAAATGAGGAAAGAAAGAAGATGGCGAAAAATCAATGAAATATGAAAGAAAACAAAACAAAAAAGGTCAGGAGGAAAAATTGTTTTTAATGATTATGGAGAGTGAACATATCCGATTATCTGAAATCACAATCTGGTGTCGCTGAGGCGCAGCAGCATCGCTCGCAGAATGGCGTCGGCATTGGCTCAACTACGACATCAGTTACAGTGAATAAAAAACACTTGGGCGAGCACCGACCGACCCGACCCGTCCGACCGTTCTGGCCCTCCCCTTTCATTCTCTTGGCGATTCATTTCACTACGGCCACCCACGGACTCGCTCGTACTCGGTCGATCAAGATAATTCCCTATTTTTTTTCTACTTTCGATTAGTCAAGCACTTAAATTTCCTTTCCTTTTGCCTCTCTTTCCTCACTTTCTTCCTTTTCTTTCTTCTTCACAACCTGAACATTGTTTTATTTTCCTTCACTTTTCATTCTCTAAAAATATTTTTTTCCAAATGGCTTCAGACCGACTAATAGCGTTATCTTTGTCATTCTTAATACGACTCGGCCGATATGCTCTTTAACATTCCTAGTGTTCAAAAGTCAGAGGTGAAGCAGTTTCAATATTCAGTAGTGTACCTATGAAAAGGGTCGCCCTTGGCAAGATTGCACCCCTGTCTAAACAACTGATACTTTACCAAAGTGCAAAGTAGATATACGAATTCAAAAATACAAGTCAAGACCATTAATAGATATAACAAATTATGGTACTTCAACAATACATTTTTATTTGCTATCTTTTATTTGAAAGGAATTTTAAATTTTGATAATATAATGGTACAACATGAACATGTTCTTTTATAAAATTACGTCAACACAAAGCGAAAATATTTTCAAGTACACGAATTCTTTAATTGTACTTAACATTTTTAATTGAGAAAATTGCAACACAAGAAAACAATCTTTCAACTCCTGATGACATTACAAAATCATCTTTTAGCGTTTCGATATTAATAAAATATTATACGAGAAGAATATTTTAATAATCATTTAAATTTTCCATTAAGAATATCTGAAAGTATAATGGTCCCATAAGAAGTTATATTTTAATAAGTTACGTTATATTATATTATATATTATTCTAATAATATTAATTCTATGAGAAGATGGGTGGAATCATGAGACTAAAGAAGGAGACCGTTAGGCATCCTTTTTGAATTCGTTGATGCAAATTCTTCAGTCACAAGAAAATATGGTGCTGGTAACATTCAACACAGAGAATCTGTTAGTGTTGATTGGTTTGGTTTGTTTTGTTTTACGGCATATCAAACTCAATGGGTTATTTAATACCGATAAGACTTTTATTGCTGGTAATATTTATTTTTTTCTAAAAATCTATTTCTGGAAAATGTATTTCCTTAAAAAATGTATTGCTGGTAATATTTTTTTCAAAAAATGTACAGCTGTTTATTTTGTTGGTAATATTTTTTTTACGAAGTATTTCTGGTATTAAAACTATTTTTACACTCTCCTTGTGTTTTGTCCCCAGTTTGGGGGTTAATAATTTGTCCATAGCTGGGGCCCTAACAGATGCTACGACCCCGGGCCTATGTGAACCTGGGAACACCAGCAAGGAAGAGGTGGTTCCACGCTTCTCAAAACATCCTGAACAGAGGCCTTGGTGTCGGACTTAGTTCATCGTCTTACCATGGACGCGGATGTAGTTTATCGTCTTACCCTGGAAGCGGATGTAGTTTATCGTCATACCCAAGACGGCGTTGGTGTTGAATATTAGCAAATAATTTAGAACATAGTAACTAATTAATTAATACTACATTACAAGTTATTAGTTCAGTGGCCTCATGGCGCCCAAGGAACATGACCTACATTCATCCCCTAGATACGCCAATGTCAGTATTCTGTAAATTCTTTGAAGTTACATTCTTATTTTCTTTTGAGTTATCAAAGCGTTTCGGCTGATATATTCATCAGCCTTTTCAGTGTTCGCTGAAATTATAAAATTGTAAAATATCTTTTTCATTATTTCGCTTTCCAGCAATAGTGTTCATTGCTCATAAATTATTTATTGGTTTTATGTTTCAGTCGATATATTTTGGGGATTTTAAATAGAAAGGGAAAAAATTCATAAAGAAAACTAAATTTAATTTAATTTTAATTTAAATTAAAAAATACGATATCTCACGTTTTCCGACTAGTATATTTAAACATTGTTATTTTTATCAGAACGTTTCGGTCGGATTTTTTAATCATTTCACGCCAAGCAAGGTCGTAACGCAACTAAAACAAGGGGTTACTGAGTGTTAAAGAATAAGAAAAGAAAAATAAAATACAAAATAGAAAAAACATTCTTAAAACAAGAAAACAAAAATAAAGAGGAAATCAGTAGATAAAAGACAACGATTGAAATTGCATTAAAAATATTTGAAGATCAATATTTTGAATATCTGTAAATTCTAGGTAACAAATAGGACAGCTTATCTAAACAAATACAATTAAAAAATTTCTCGAAAATATACAGGTAAGCTACGTTAGGGCAGTGGGAAAGTAACTGAAGCGAGATGCCAGGCCAGGAGCAATAACATAGTGGTGGGAAAGTAAATGAAGCGAGATGCCAGGTTAGGACTAATAACATAGCAGTGGGAAAGTAAATGAAGCGAGATGCCAGGCTAGGACTAATAACATAGGAGTGGGAAAGTAACTGAAGCGAGATGCCGGGCGCGGACCAATAACATAGCGGTGGAAAAGTAACTGAAGCGAGATGTCAGGCCAGGAGCAATAACATAGCGGTGAGAAAGTAACTGAAGCGAGATGCCAGGTCAGGACGAATAACATAGGGGTGGGAAAGTAACTGAAGCGAGATGCCAGGTCAGGACCAATAACATAGGCGGTGAGAAAGTAAATGAAGCGAGATGTGAGGTCAGGACCAATAACATAGCGGTGAGAAAGTAAATGAAGCGAGATGCCAGGTCAGGAGCAATAAAATAGCGGTGGGAAAGTAACTGAAGAGAGATGCCAGGTCAGCACGAATAACATAGCGGTGAGAAAGTAACTGAAGCGAGATGCCAGGCCAGGAACAATAACATAGAGGTTGGAAAGTAACTGAAGCGAGATGCCAGATCAAGACGAATAACATAGCGGTGAGAAAGTAACTGACGCGAGATGCCAGGTCAGGACCAATAACATAGCGGTGAGAAAGTAAATGAAGCGAGATGCCAGGTCAGGACGAATAACATAGCGTTGAGAAAGTAAATGAAGCGAGATGCCAGGTCAGGACGAATAACATAGCGGTGAGAAAGTAACTGAAGCGAGATGCCAGGCCAGTACGAATAACGTAGTGGTGGGAAAGAAACTGAAGCGAGATGCCAGGCCAGGATTAATAAGATAGCGGTGGGAAAATAACTGAAGTGGTATGCAAGGCCAGGATTAACAACATAGCGGTGGGAAAGTAACTGAAGCGAGATGCCAGGCCAGGACCAATAACATAGCGTTGGGAAAGTAACTGAAGCGGGATGCAAGGCCAGGACGAATAACATAGCGGTGAGAAATTAACAGAAGCGAGATGCCAGGTCAGGACCAATAACATAGCGGTGGGAAAGTAACTGACGCGGGATGCAAGGCCGGACGAATAACATAGCGTTGGTAAAGTAACTGAAGCGATGGGAGGACCAATAACATAGACGCGGGATGCAAGGCCCGGACGAATAACATAGCGTTGGTAAAGTAACTGAAGCGAGATGACAGGCCAGGACCAATAACATAGCGGTGGGAAAGTAACTGAAGCGGGATGCAAGGCCAGTACGAATATCATAGCGGTGTGAAAGTAACTGAAGCGAGATGCCAGGCCAGGACCAATAACATAGCGTTTGGAAAGTAACTGAAGCGGGATGCAAGGCCAGGACGAATAACATAGCGGTGGGGAAAGTCAATGCCTCAGGACGAATAAAGTCAGATGCCAGGATCAAGGGACGAATAACAGCGGTGGGGTGAGAATGTAAATAAAAGCGGTGGATAACAAGGCCATGACGAATAACATAGCGTTGGGAAAGTAACTGAAGTGGGATGCAAGGCCAGGACCAATAACATAGCGGTGGGAAAGTAACTGAAGCCGGATGCAAGGCCAGGACCAATAACATAGCGGTGGGAAAGTAACTGAAGCCGGATGCAAGGCCAGGACCAATAACATAGCGGTGGGAAAGTAACTGAAGCGAGATGCCAGGCCAGGACCAATAACATAGCGTTGGGAAAGTAACTGAGGCGGGATGCAAGGCCAGGAACAATAACATAGCGGTCGGAAAGTAACTGAAGCGAGATGCCAGGCCAGGACTAATAACATAGCGGTGGGAAAGTAACTGAAGCGGGATGCCAGGCCAGGACCAATAATATAGCGGTGGGAAAATAACTGAAGCGAGATGCCAGGCCAGGACCAATAACATAGTGGTGGTAAAGTAACTGAAGCGAGATGCCAGGTTAGGACCAATAATATAGCGGTGAGAAAGTAACTGAAGCGAGATGCCAGTGTCAGGACCAATAACATAGCGGTGGGAAAGTAACTGAAGCGAGATGCCAGGCCAGGACCAATAACATAGAAGTGGGAAAGTAACAGATGCGGGATGCAAGGCCAGGACCAATAACATAGCGGTGGGAAAGTAAGTGAAGCGGATGCCAGGCCAGGACCAATAACATAGCGGGATGCCAGGAAAGGACCAAACATAGCGGTGAGAAAAGCGGGATGCCAGGTCAGGACCAATAACATAGCGGTGGTAAAATAACATAGCGTTGGTAAAGATGACGAGATGACAGGCAGGACCAATAAGTGGTGGGAAAGTAAGCTGAAGCGGGATACAAGGAGAATAATAACATACTGAAGCGAGATGCCAGGTCAGGACGAATAACATAGCGGTGAGAATGAAGCGAGATGCCAAGTACGAATAACGGATGGGAAAGAAACTGGCGAGATGCCAGGCCAGGATTAATAAGATAGCGGTGGGAAAATAACTGAAGTGGTATGCAAGGCCAGGATTAACAACATAGGTAAGAGACCAGGACCAATAACATAGCGTTGGGGTAACTGAAGCGGGATGCAAAGGACGAATAACATAGCGGTGAGAAATTAACAGAAGCGAGATGCCAAGGACCAATAACAGCGGTGGGAAAGTAACTGACGCGGGACGAATAACATAGCGTTGGTTGGATAAGGTGGGGAAAGTAACTGAAGCGGGATGCAAGGCCAGGACGAATATCATAGCGGTGTGAAAGTAACTGAAGCCAGATGC